CAACATGCATAGCGCCCTTCCCAGTAAAATACAGGAGAACCTGGACCCTACCAGCTCAGAGCAGCAAGAAGCAGGGGTACATTTATTCTAAATTTTCATTTATATTTAATTTTGAAAGTTGTCAACCTTTCCAAAATACAACAAAAGTAATCTTTCAAGTACGACTTGTAAGCAGGTTTAATGATATCTACTGACAGTCTGAGATAGTAGCTATGGGAAATGTGTGAAATGCCATACTAATCACAACAGGATGCTAAATCTACAATCTAATGATACTTTATAAGTCAACCACATTATTGGATTACTGCTTAATGGAAAAGACAATAGTTTATCTTATGAAGGTATGCACAATTAATAATTAGTAACTTGCTATGATAGGCAAGCCCAGTGTGGGAGTATACAATGCACTTCACTTTTCCAGCAGCAAGATTCCTGACATTTGCCTGACCCATTTTTTCCCAATTTTCATTTTAGAATACTGGGCTAAACCTTTGTCAGTTCTGGCACCAAAACTGACCGACTATGGGACTCTCCTGTCACAACCAAAACCTTCTGAAAAATCTGTTGAAGAAAAAGTAAAACCAGCCACTATCTGGTCAGTCCAGTGATCACTGATGTAAGTTTTGACACGATGGCCAAAGTACTCTGAAGAAAGAGATAGATGCCTTGCATATGTACATGCTTATCTCTCCTATTTGCATCTTCAAAAAAGACTGTAAACCTTTCAGCTTCTAAATGTGAAGGGTAAGTATTGCAATACACAGTCAAATAAAGATCCCACTGTCTAGGCCATCCACAGGTACCACAGAAGATTTCCGTCTAACTGAAAGATATAATCAACCTAAGGAAAGGCTGCTTTGGAAGATTTCTTTTACAAAGGAACAGATTTGGCTATCATTTTCTCTCGGGGTTTTGGGGGGGGGGGTTTGTTTGTTGGTTTTTTTTTTCAAATGACATATAGCCAACTACAGAATTATGAAAATCTAGCCTAGCCTGCCCCCCATGACTTAGGGTGGCAAGAATAGAAATAGCACTACCCCCCCAAAATAAATCCATATGGGGAATTTTTCATGGAAATAGCAGTATGGGCCTCCAGTTGGTAACATTGGGAATGGTTCTACCAAGGTTTCAGCTTTCTCTGCTACCACCAGGTCAATTGCAGGCACTCCTTGGCAGAGTTTCTTACCACTTATAAAACAGTGCCTATGGTTTTCATCATAAATGACACAGCATTTTTTAAATATATACTACATAAAGGTAAGGTATAATAAGTATACTATACAACTGGACTCACAAATACTTGAAAGCAGCAAGGTGTGACCAAATGAGGGGAAGACAAGTTAGTTGGATGACACTGTTAGCAGTCCTTAGGAATTTTATCAATAATATTTAGTCAAAATTCTATTAATCGTGCAGGATACTGAAAATCCTGTGGTTTTTACTGAAGGTAGTTGTGAGGCTATAGACTGTCCCCTTAGGAGTGACTTTTGTTCTATAGGTGTTCTACAATGTTACAGGCAATAAAAATGTGACTGTGTAAATTGATTTTATGTCCTTTACAGAAATGGAGTGTTCCCAAAGAAATCAGCTTTGATTAATTTATTTCTTTTTAAATAGATTCTCAAAAAAATTTTGCAGAAAAGACATCATTTTTTTCCTAAGGGGTCTAGATTCTCAGTGGCACAAAAGGCAAATCAATCAGACATTATGCCAGGCCTACAATTACAGGATGTGTCCCCACAAAATTCTGCAAACAATACCACACATTACACTGGACTCCTGCATATCTGAAATCCACTCTTACCCAAACCACCTACCTACTGTAATCACAGCATTGTACATTGCGTGGGTGCACAGCATTCATCCTGCTGAGATCTATTTTATGGCTCCCAATGGATAACAGATACCAGACTGGTAGATTATTATATCTGTGTTCTCCTACCTGTCACATGAATAAGTGATTTAATACATCGTTGTAGGATTAAGGCTTGATTTTTTTTCTTAGGAAAGGAAAAAGCAGCACATGTCTTACAAAACTTTTATTCCTCTCCCAATCCAGACATCAGAACTATTTGACTTTTCTAAATATTTTAGACCTATCCTTAGTCATCTATTCACAAGCATCAAAAATATTTTTCATGAATATAAATTAATTAAATCACCAGTAGTGATTTCTGCAGTGCATCTCAGATTGGATTGCATTGGGATTTTTTTGTTGTTTGGCATATATGTACAATGATGGTAATAGAATGTTCCTGTTGAATCAGCAAACTCTGGAATATGAGAAAAACTATAATTCTTAAGGCAATGCATACCATGCTCATTCAGCTTTCTTGGGTAGATTATGATAAAGGCTTTGATTACAGGATGTCATCATATTTTTTCCCATGGGTCCTCTGCCTCATTCCATGCACAGATGCTCAATGAGCAGTGATCCAATACAGTTTTTATTTTTATTATTCCTCGAGTGGATTCAGATCTAGATATCAAGATAGAATTATTAATTTCCTCATGAGTTTTTCTCTAACTGTGTCTGCATCATCACAAATATTTACTATTTTACTTCTGCAAAACCTCTTCAAAATGAGAATATGTTTCCATATGATTTGTTTTGTAACATATAGAGAAATGAAGCACAAAGATTAAGGCTGAAAAAAATTCATTACACTGGATGCCCAATTTGAGATGTCTACAACTTAATGTTTTGGAAAGTATGGCATGGAGCACCCCTTCATTCTGACAGAATTGCTGCTCTCTTTCACTTATCTTGCAGCACTTTTGCCAGTCCAGCACCAGAGTTCCAGCCTAAATGTCAGAAAAAGAGAAAAACACAAGTAGCCAGCTATTTAAAATCTGAATGAATTAATACAATCAATATCCTGGACTTGAAGAATCCAGGACAGACAGAAAAGGAGCTGTATTATTTGGATCAGTTGCTTTATTTTTAAAATAATATCTTTTTCCTTAGCATTTCCTCATATCATTCACCACACAACCTATATAGTCAAAGAACCAATCTGAAGAAGATAGAATCCTTAATAAGGTAAATCTCAACCTCCCTAAAGTAGGACTATTTGACATACTAAATTTCTCTGATTCTTTAGAGTCCATCAAGGAGTGTTGGGAACAGCCAAGATTTTCTGCTTCATGATTTTTTTATATTATATGAAGAACTGCCTTTAGGGCATCTTTAGGATATCCTTATCTTTCGGACATCTAAACTCATCTCTTCTTTGGGAGTCAAGCATGCTAGTACATTGCATGAGACACAATCCCATGGAAACATAGTGGAAAAACATACCTTTAATAGCTGTATCACAAAAGTTTATTTGATCAACAAAGATTGCACAACTAATCATGAGCACTTCCTAACTTTTGAGTGCCTGGCTTTACAAGGTTAGTTTTTTTATGTTTTGTAAAGTAATATAAAAACTTTTTTTGGCATATGGCATTGTACTGACATCAACATTGGTTTTCAACCAGAAAATCAGCTTTCAGCTTATTCATCTGGCTCATCATCTACCAGTGCAATGGTAGGGCCATGACCATTGAGAGTTTCTCTGTGATTCTCTGAAACTCTTCTGCACTAGTAAGTGCTCTGACAGATACTTTGATTATTGTTGAACAAATACTGTGTTCCCCTTCTTCATCATCTCAATATCGTCACCCTAGAGTCATCACTTTCCTATGCCTGGCTTTCAACTTTACATATTTTATGCCAGTTCATCCTGTTTACATACAAACACCTTTCCTCTCATACTCTCTCATTTTTCAAGTTATTGTTCCCCTGATTCTCAACTAAATGCATGGGGTTTTTTTTAAATGTGGTGGAATAAATTTCTCTCAAACTGAGAAGCAACCAAGCTGGTCTTGCAAATCTTCAGGGCAGGGTGGAGTGAACCTGAAAGTGACAATTCTTCAAGGAAAAGTTTATACCAATGCAGTAATGTTTTGATACAGTTCTAAGCAACTGAAAACATGGTAGTTTCAGATGCTTCTAAAGGGAAGCATCAAACTAACTTGACTGCAGGCAGCAGTGCTGGGTCCACTTACCATAAATTCCTGTCCCTTTCAGAAAAATAACCAGGCCTGGAAATGTCACTTTTCCACTTACAAATACATTGGTTAGTCTCTTCTGACCCTACTTTTTTGTGTCATCTGGCACCAAAGGACCAGAAAGTGGGCAAACCTCCCCAGATGCAAATTTCTACAGTGTGGGCTGATGTAGTGTCAGAACACTGCAAATGAAGCAGGTGCCATGGTTGCAGCTCTGCTGCTCTCTGGCTATTGACAGATCCTCCCTCCAGAGCCACTATCAACCACTGTAGTGCAAAAAAAAAAAGCAATGCAACTTTGACACACTGATGCCAAAGGTGGAGCTCCTGGTCAAAAGGACTGCAATTCTACAATTTATGTAGAGTTTTGAATCCAGATTTACTGTGTACTGAATATTTTTGGGTGTATAAAGCACGAGACAAAACTGAAACATGTCAGGAGAAATAATCTGAGTTTGCTCTAATCCCTAATACATGCACAAGCATGAACAGACTAGACATAGTCCTAACTGTGCCTTCCCATTTGAGTCCTCCACACCAATCTTGCATTGCCTTGCAACAACTTTACATGGTAAATACAGGGAAGCCAAACTGATGTTTCTAAATGGGCCTGAGTTTACAATATAGATGCACACACACAGAGAACATCTCTGGACTCACACTTCATGCTGCACCCCCAGGGAAATCCGAGGGCAGCAATTTTACCAGACTGAGTGCTGCAATCCCATAATCCTGCCCACCAGATATGTACCATGGAGTCTGAAGGTCCACTGGACAGAGGAGTCCATTGCCAAGTCCTCACCCTAAACCAAAGACAGGTCAGGCAGAATCAGGCTTAGATCTTGCAAGCACAAATTGGGTAAATTTCAAATGCTACACTTTTTGCCAAATTAACACCTATTTCCAATCACAAACAGACCCAGGCTGACTGAATAGTCTGTAAATATGCATCCACATGTGGGCCAAGAAGCGCAGTTTCTCAAGTTGTGTGGAAGAGAGGTTCTTTCAGGTAAGAAAAGAACATAGGTGTTTTTAAGAACAGGAACATCTATTGTCGTGCATTGCATCTGGGTCTGACATAAGTTCTTAATGCAACGGATATGTGGAACTTCAGACTCTCACTGCATAAAGTAGACCATTGGATTTTAATTTTTTAGTGTATGTAGAGCTCAATTTCTTGTGTTATTTAAAGCTGTGGTTCTGTTTGTATTATATTCATTGAGTCTAAAACATGTCTATTGATACCAAAAAGTGGTAGAAACAAATTTCTTAACAACAATTTGTAGGTGTTAAAAAGGGCATTCTTTATTTAGCATGCTGGACGTCCAGAGGATAGCTCCTCTAATTGAAAGTGCCAAATGACAGATAGACAGGGCTTTTTATTACATATACTGTTTATATAATCATTAGATATTCTTTTAATACATATTCATTATATTGCTTTACACAGTCACACCCTTATTGGAAGTCCTTTTTTGGTCCTTCTGGGTCTTCTTTGTCGTCTTGACCTCAGTTCTTGAGCAGGCACAGTGTCATAGTGTTTCACCCCCAAGAACTGTAACTTTTGTTCTTTATCTTACTTGGGTACACAGAGCTTACTTTACATTCTGGTTTTTTGAGTTACATACCTTACCTAACTCTCTAGGACTTCTCTAAGATTACATTGTTCCTTATTTTGGCATTCTGGGATACTGTGAGTAAAGTTTCTATTTCTCCTATAACTATTAAGGTATGAAGCTGGACAATTGGAAAGACATGTATGGGACCATATAAATTTCCTTTTATTGTAATAAAATACTCAGAAGACAAACAGATAGCATTTCCCAGACACAGATGGTTGTTCAAGGCAGGGTACGTTCTAAAAAACTTAATACTATGATGCTGGGGAAAATCTATCTCTTAAGAAGTATTAAGGGCATTTGAATTAATTCTGTCACCTTTTCCAATACTTTTCACATAGTTACTTTTGTGGAGTATGTACACATGGTGTAGGTATTTATTTGTGCTTTAGATGCCATACTTTATTCCACCTGTCTTTCCAGAAAGACAAGTCATCTATAAATCCAGTGCCATATCTGCCAATCTCATGGGAATGACATAAAAAGGCACTAGGAACCTGTGCTTACGTTACAATATCCTTCTCTATCAGTCTTGTATTGAATGTCTTGTTTACTTTTCCCTTGAGCTAGACATGTTTCTATGCATCGTTCTGCAGGACAATATACTAAGAAGGAAAATCACTGTCACAAAGTTGCATGCAAATGGAAGTCTCTTTTGGCAGTACACATCCTTAAAAGGTTGTAAAGCCAAACTGCTGTTTAACAATACGGAGAGAGGAAGGGGGGAAGAAAATAATATTTTATTGTGCTCTTTGCACAATTTTTTTCAATAGTCTGAAGAAGTAAAAAAATAACAGTTATTAAAATAAACCTCTCTTAGGATCTCTCTGAGAAGAGTTAGTGGATTTCTAAGTAGATTCTGACTTACACCAATTAGTACTACCTGTTCTGATATACCTGTACTGAGCTTTTTATGGCTTAGTCCTTGCTCTGCTGAACCAGCTTTGAAAATCACAAATCGTTTTCAAATTAGCTGCTTAAGGCTAATTCCAGCAGGTTCTCTTCCCCATTGCTGCTCTTCACTGGAACTGTACTCCAGAGCCCAGCTTCCTGGACCTTCAGGGTCTCTTATTCTTGGCTTTCTCCTACTTCTTCTCCTCCTCCTCCACAGATGTGCATCCAGTCGAGCAGCAGCAATATTCTGTAGCCCTGCTTTGATGTTCCTTGTCTTCATTCTGGCAATTGCTTGATAGTTATAAGTCAGTAAAATCTTTGTTGCAGAAGCCATATTATCACAGTGTAATGGCCATGTTATAGGTATATCTGTTTATTTAGTTACTTGCTTGGTTTTAAAGTACAGTCAATACTTTTTCATGTCAACCATATACAGTCAATGACAACTATGATGAGCAATGAATCAAGACATTTGAGCATGATGTGAGCAAATTGTAGTCTTCTGAGAGCTTATGATCTGCTGCAGCCTCCTTTTAATATTTATTAAAATTAGTAGTTTATGCCTATGTAAGGCGTGTAAGTACATATAGAGTCTACTTACGGTTGAGATAACATTAAGTACAGTAGACACTGTAGGGAAGTTAGTTAGTCACCGCATAGTTATCCCCACCTCTGATGTGTCAAGGTTATAAACAGTCCCATCCTAGCCATATGGCAAAGATCTCTAAATATTGACTGCAGTTTTTCTCATTGATCCCACAAAAATGAATTAAATACTTTCTTTACAGAGCATATGACCATCCACCTCTCCCTTGAAAATCTTTCTGTAGCAATTAGACTCAAAAAGCTTGATTCTGCAAGATGCAAAATATTCACCCCTTTTTCAGAAAAATGGTTTCAGTAAATATTTAAAATTGAGCATATAACTGCAGCTAGTAACGGTCATTTTTATGTTCATCTTCTTAAGCATAGATGTAAGCCTTTTGGTGAGTTGTACAGGAAATCTCATTCCTAGTTTATAGGAATGACTAAATATGACTAAGAATTATGACTTGAGTAAAGTTGAAGGAGTAACATATCAGGACCTTGTCTATTGGAATGAACTCCAGGTCTTCTTCCATTCTTTTTCACCTAGGTGAACATATCCTACTAGTTCCCTCTGTCCTCCCCACTACAGGTTTCCTAAAATAAAAAACATTCTTACCTATTTTGCTTTATTTAAAATACTCCAATAGCTGTTCTTCCACGTCTCCTGTCTATTCAATGCAAGTGAAAACCGTAAAATGAAGTTGAGTAATTCTGGCACCCAAAGAAAGTGCAAGAAGACACTTTTGAACAGCCAGACAACACAAAAGCACTGCTATATTATACTCTTTGTCATTCCAATTTTAACAATAACAATAAGTATATTAATCACCAGCACCACTGAAGTTTTGTGTGCAATTAGCATTTCAACACCCTCTCCCTTTGCTGGGGCGGAGCAGTTTGCCTCCACTGTGAGCTGCTTTTAATGGTGGTGCAAGAATGGACGGCTCTATGATTGCATTTTGGAAACTGGTGGCAGTTCAGTTGTTAGAGGAGAGCTCAAGTTTCTTTGTTTGTTTGTTTATTTGTTCCTGTACTCGTGCTTCTGCTGTGTTAACTGATGGAAATTGCTTGGGGACAGATTTAAATCAAAACAGACAGTTTCCATTTTTGCTCTGTAACTAGTAAGGTTTGTTTAAGAGGCACTGCTGCTGGAACATAAGGCATGTCTGGAATGTTTGTTTACTTGCTGTTTTGAGCATGTGCCCTTTTGTTAGGAAACAGGGTTTTCCACGGTGCAAATCTTCAGTGCCAGTGGCTGAGCCTCTTTAAATAATTAAAATAATAGTGGATTGAGATGGGTTATTCTAATTTTTTTAATAAAGATGTTTGCATGCTATTTAATGCAATGGCATCAGATATTAACCTCAGGCCTTACTGGTCTTTTAAAGACCTCCACAAATTATACAAGCATACGCATGTAAATGATTCCTAGGATTATGCCTCAGCAACTTGAAAATGTTTGTATTTCTTCTGTGTTGGGTATATTTTCCTTACCCGAGCAGACAAGTCCTTCCTGGTTAATCCTACCCAGTTCTGTGACTTGCCCATCCCATGGGGATTTGGTGCATGGAGGTTATTTGTTCTATTAATCAGGAGGTTCCTAAATTCTAATCCTTGGTAAAGCACTGGATTGCCAGCTGACCTTGGCAAGTCACTTGACCTCCTTTTGCTTCAGTCAATCCAGCTGGAAAATTGGGTTAAAAGCAAGACTTTACTGGAAAACAGATGCTGCATCTGAAATGAGATTCCTTTTGCAAATTTAGTTTCACCAGAGTGAAACTAAATGGGCACTTCTGCAAAAGGCAACTTTCTGGACTTTACTAATCTTTGTTTCATTTTAAATTTGGTAAGATCATCAAAATGCCTTGTTTGACACAATATGTGCTGTTGGTTGAATGGCTGATGCAAGGGGGCTTGTTTGACTTTAAAGACCACATAGCTTTCTTCATTTAGCCATTTACATTGACTTTTTCTTGACGTAGGAGGAATGAAGTAATGAAGGGACTAGACATTGATATCATATCTGACTGAGACAGCAACATGCCATGGGCCATATTGTCTGGCCCACTCTGCTCTGCTTC